GACAGTTTTACGCCACAAAATCTAAAGATCTCGCCGCTTCGAAACGGTTAACTAGCATAATAGAAAAGGTCTACAGCACATTATTTACCCATGCAAACAAGCGTTTCGTATTGAATCACCTAAACCGCTGCGTTTTCGCAAACGATTTGACCTTTTGTAACCTGATAACCTTCACCTTGTTACGTAACAATACGACACTATACGTGAGAGAGGTGCGCACGCGCATTCACCTTTCTTAGTGTTGCCATCAAACTATGGATTAACCATATCTTGGGGTCTATTACGAAAATTAAGCAGAAAAAAAATTCTAGCAAGCATTCTTAAATACGAAATCATTTCTCATATCTCATTTACGAACTATGCCAATAATAATGGATTCATCATGGATATTAAAGTACTTATAATTTAAATGTTTTTCAATATTGAATAGAATAATTTTGTGTACTTAACCCTTGTTTTAAATAAAAATTATAGTCTGTGTATAGGTTGCGTCTTTATTTCCAACAAAATTGAGTGATATAAAATGAAATAATGTCAGTTTACTATACTCGTAGTACTTTTAATAGTTTTCATGTTGTTTTTGTTATTTTGTATTATACATCAAAATCTTCCTTTTGAATCATCCTATCTAGGAAAAAAAACCGCACCAAAATCCATTGCGTAGTTTTAAAGGTTTAAGCATAAAAAAGCGACTTTGTTTTATACTGTGTAGTGATATGTGGCGCCGTTTGTTGGCATCCTACGTTTTATTTACCAAATAAATATATCATCGAGTTGTAGCAATTTTGTTATTTGTGGCACAACTTATGGTAAGGTATTTTTAGCTAATGTTGACGTTTTACTTTGTAATTGCCTTTTTAATGTCGTCAAATGTTCCGAACGTATTAACAACCAATATTTTACTAGGTATTTAATGGAAGGACCATTCAATTTTAAATTTAAAATAAGGATTTTTAAAATATAAAAAAAAAACAAAGATAAAATCCCTCTGGCTATAATTATCGCATGTGTATTGTAGTAGACCTCCTTCTTAGAAAGAAATCGAGACATGATCACGTGACGTCACTTTGTTATTTGACCTACTAAGTACTATTATAACATGAAATAGGTAGTTCAGAGCATGTTAAATGTTACGCTATCATGATTCATATAAAATATTGAGACTGATATTATGGATTTAACAAATCAGAAACGTGACCAAATGTGTTTCGCAATATTTTCTATTGGGTCTTCTTTATTTGAAATATATAATATCTAATAATACAGAATTAGTAATCATTTATTATTCTTGTTATTTGTCGAATCAAAATGATTTTTATTTACACTGGCAATTTTATTAATGCATTTATCAAGTAATGACGTATCCGTAAACTTTATCAAATGTTTTTAAATTGTGAAAAATTAACGTAAGCGTCGATTGTTTCAAAATAAATTAAAATAAATTAAAGAAGTAAATATCTTAAATTAAAGAGTTAAATGCATAAATTAATACGCATCGAGTGAGAAATGAAAACAAAACGGAAATTCTTAACTAATTCATAACTTATTTAATTTAAAGAAGCATTATGCTCGTGTAAAGTTTAATAATTAAACTATTTTATTAAGTTTAATATATATTCTTAAATTATTATTATCTTAAAATAGCTGTTAGTATTCAAAAGATGCCATTGAACTTTATACGTCATGGAGTACCTCTCAGACGGTCGTTGTACTAGATTAGTTTGAAGCTTATTAGTAAAAAGGACAATTTCTAATTATTAGACAATATAATATTCTCATGATTAAATCAATTTGTTCAAAAATAGATACAGGCGGTTTCTAATGAGCTCACAAAAACCGCAGAAAACAAAGTTATCCGCAGAATGCTAGCTAGTCTAAGCAGACTCTCGTGGCATTATGCTGGACGGAGGGCAATACATAAGTGATAATTCAGTTCTATTTTTTTTTTTAATTTTAATTCAAAATTCTTATATTATATTTAAATGAAGCTAATGCTAAAAAAATTAATCAAAATATTTCTTTCAGCTGTATGAGTGGATTAACTGTACATTGATGAAAATACGTAGCGTGAGAATTTTGTCAGTGTTGCTAGACCTCGGGTAGCTCAATAGTCCACCGCATTAAATATATCAAAAATTAATAATCCCGCTGGATGCGGGAGGCGCAGGACCGATCGCTTTGAAGATCTTTGGGGGAGGCCTATGCCCAGCAGTGGGCGTCTCTCGCCTGAATTGATGATGATGATCACATATGATTTTCTACAAAACTGTGAGGTAACGAGCCTCCACTCCTCAACTTTAATGCTTGTTATTTAAGCTCTTGTCAAATTGAAGTAAAAATATGTATGTAATATTTTTCCATGATCTGATGAACTAAATATAATTTCCTTTTTTTAGCCAGTCATCATCCCTCAACATTGAAGTCACGAATGGTTAAGATGTTTCACGAATCAAGTTTTCTGGCCTCAGAGTCCCACTCGCAATGATTAACGACGCCGCTCTTGACCTATACATTACGCAGCTGAAAATGTTAAAAACAAACCTCCAAACGGTAAATGTTCTCCAATTTATAATTAATTCATATTTATGTGCATTCCAAATTGTTTGAAATCATGAGGTCTCTACGTGTAATCTGTTCCGTTTATAATCAGTGACGAGTTCGGTGCTTTATTAAATGAAACAGCTGACTGGGCTTGATAAGTAGGTATATTTTTATGGTATAAACAAAAAACTGTAACAACAAAAAAGAAATAAAAAAAATATATATAAAAAACAGTTCGTTATATGTGGATTTTTAAAATTACGATAGTGTAAGTAGGTACTTAAAAAAAATTACATACCCGTTTCTGGGTTTTCCTTAATAGGTAGATCTTAGTAGATATTTACTTTGAATACACTTTCACCCATTTTTACTAACCTAGAACAAGGCAAAGCTTAACTAAGAAACGCCTAATATTAGGAATCGCCTAAGCAGATTAGTTTAATTTCAAATATTATTATTTTTATTTTATCATTTGGCATTTTTATGATCTGTCATATAAGCAAATGCCTAGATCAAGGCGCCGCATAACGAATATCATAATTTTAGACATTGCTTAATTTCGTTTGGTGGTTTCTAGACAATGGTGTAATGCATTTTGACCTTAGGCGATTCTTAAATATTTAGGCGACAGATTGGGTGACTCCTAAGTTTAATGAAAACGGGCATTAGATATATTACTTTAAATACACATTATTTTTAATAAACAATATGTAGATAATATTAAAAGAATTTTGATGAACCAACATTCAGAAAAGGCATGTCGCATTACTCAAAACGTCAATTTATGAAAATCGAATAATAAATAAGAAATGATCTTGAAAACCAAAGACAAAAAGTTTGGATGCAGAAACCTAGGACCACAGTATAGTACCATACAAACGATGGTGTTATGTACGGGCACAGCTGTGTCTCACTTCAACATTAGCATTAGCATCTAATTTATGAGCTCATGATAAGGCCTAACCGTTCTTCAGAGTGTAGCCTCTCGTCCTCTTCATTAATCCAGCATAGTGAGCAATCAAGATAACGAGAGTTGTCATAATCACTTAAAACCAACTGACAGGAACTGATTAATGTGACATGCATATGTATCCTTTATACATCAATAATAATAAATAATAAAAATAATACACTTGACACCGTGACGTCATTTTCACACCAAAAGCCTTTCAACGCAACATTCATTACAAAATATTATACGGTAAATAACAAAATTGAAACACAATTGAATAATTACTGATTTGAAATAATTTCAATTATTTTTTTAATATTAATATTAATTTCAATTAACGTGCGTTAGTTTTGTAACAACACAATAAATACTCGTACACTAATTGTAAATATTATGGATAATCCTAATAAAATACGAGTTACATAAAAAATCAATTAGTTTCACCTTGTCATATTTCCTATTGATTATTTATTATATAATGATTGAAATGACATAGATATGGATCATTTTTGGATATAAATAAATATAAAAAGTAGTTAATATAATACATTTTGTTTAATTTAATAAATTACCGTTACCGTTTACCGTTTTAATATACCGTCTTTATGTATTTTAAAGCTAGTTTATTTCCAACTTTATTTAGATGTCTTGCACATAATTTATTGTAATAAATATAATTTGGAAATTTTCACAAAAGTTAGTTTTATTGATAATAATCTAAAAATCAATTAATGTGTTAATCTAAAATAGTCTAATCTGATGTTTTTAATTCTGTTAAATATTTCTTGTTATCTAAATACGTATCATTTTAATTTGAAGTAAGTTTTTAACCGAATCCACAAAATAAAACCTAAAATTGGCGATTGCGTTACATTTGTATGTCAGAGTGTGTCAATGTTTCAAATAGGTGACGATTTAGAATTCCAAGGATGCTATCATCAGAATTATAATGAAGAGCACTCCCAACTACAGTGGAAGGTCATCCACAGTGTAAATTTATAAATTTAACATATTACCTTACATCTTCTAAACAAATTCGTTAATCCTAATAGCGGTATTTTAAAAAACTGACTATTTTGTAAAATAGCAAGTGGAGAACTAACATCCAACCATTGGAGTATTAATTTTAATAAAGTTATATATGATATAAGTCAGATATTTAATATGTTCAACCTTCGTCTCTGATCATTTGATATCACGTAGACTAGGCCTGTTATTTCTTAGTCACCTTATATGTAAGTTACTCAACTATCTTAAGACCACACATAATAACCGCCATTCTATTCTGGAATCTTACAAGACCTTTTAAGCTCTTGTGTCATCTTGGTCATTATTTATTCTAATAGATGCATCTGAATGATTGCTCGGTCCAATTCTTGTGTTTTACGGTTATGTATAGATACGTGTGTAGTAATTCGTAAAAACTCGAGCTTTAATGAATTAGTGTCGCATCATGCTATACATAAAATGGCGCATGTCAGGTTGTATAAAAATGAAAAATCAAAAGTAATTACTAAAACATAAATTGTTTTATTAACAACGGATCATATCACAGATCGCTTGAATGGCTTAACAAGGGAAGGGATTGGGGAAATGAGTATTTTTGGACTAGATGTTACGGGGGTAGGTAAGTTATTTAAGCGACGGGAAGATGGGCACCCTGGGGCTGGAAACCATCCTCGTTGGCGACGTAGCTGACGCTGTAGACAACGCCATCAGGGCCGGTGTAGGAGTATTGACCGCGGACTTCGATGGCTTCGTTCTCGGAACCGACGTTCTTCAGCTGGCCTTGTTCCTGAACGGAGATGCCGTTGGAAGTCTCCACACTGTAAACATAGAGAAATAATTAATAAATGCTTATAGAAGTAATTCTATAATAATATTAAAAGTCAGTGTTGGTTACAATTTGTATATTATTTACTCCATTATGGAATGCAATAAGAGTTGTGATGACTTACGCATAGTTGTATCCGTCGACACCGATATTGTCGACGTCGTTGCGAAGGATCTGCGCGTCAGCGTCAGAGCTGACGGGAGCGGCGACGGCGGCAGCCACGAACAGAGCGAAGACGATGAACTGATGGAAAAAAAATCATAATTTAGTACTTCATTGCAAAACAATGAGATTATTGCAACTCTTTTACAATATAAAAAAGTAAACAATCCAATGAAACTTTGAACACTATAGAATTATTGGTGGACCCTATAATATTTCACTGTCCACGATATCACATACCGATTTCATTTTTGGTGTTGGTGGTATTTTTTGTTTAACCGGTATATGAGAAGTCAATCGAGCGACTGATGCCGTTTTCGATGCGGGAACCGCTATTTATAGTGCGCCCGCGCAGATGCGCAAGGACGCGCAGTGACATTTGAACTTAGATACATCTTCGGGCAGCGATGCCAGTAAAGGTACTTTGTGACATGTCCGGTTGTGTGTTTTTATGATCTTTACACGCCATTCAGATTAGTGAGCGACCCAATAAACGGTAAGTTAGTCTCGCCAGTTGGCTATAGAACCGAACATAATGTTAGTTAATGTCATAGTTACGTTAACAATATAAGCTAAACGCATTTCACTTTCGTTTCATCATATAATATAAAAATGTTTGAAAATCATATTTAAGTAAGTTTTTGATTTACTTATTTGCCTAAAACATTATATCCTTAGTACTTAGTATTTGAGCAAATTTTCATTTCAGCAAACTTTTTAATATTTTACAAAATACTAGTTTTTTTTTTTTATTATTAATACTTAAGTAAATCCACTACCCCCAAAACTCTCACTATTAGCGAAAAAGTAACAATTAAAACGTCGTCAGTTCTCTTAGGTCTCGTGTAGCTTAGTGGTTAGAATAGTCGCCCCGATTGCAAATGATCGTGAGTTCGAGTCCCACCTTGTGGTAACCTGGTGCTGATGAATTTTTTTAAGCTTTTTCATTTAAAAGTACTTTTAACAGATAAAAACGCGTAAAAAATATTTCATAGTTTTAAGGTGATTTTGACTCCTTATTACAGTTGTCCGAGTTGTTAATAAGATTACTCATTATTCTTTTAACGTGATTACAGTTAAATGTGTAACTTTTAAAAAATAAAAGACCCCCTCTCTAGGCTTTACATTATTTATATTTATTCATGATATTTGTAAATATCATCTAGAATGCTTAAAAACAGTGATCGTTGCTAAACAAATTTGCATACAAATGAGCATCGCTAATTCAGATGTATTCATCCATCCGAAATTATCAACGATCAAGTGTTTTATAAATAAAAAGTGTGTTGTGTCTTACTTCGATCTTCTTCACGTCTGAATGTTGCATCATATATATTTTTTATGCCATACCAAATATAATATTGAAAAGTTCTCAATGTATATAAAGCATTTGTAAACGAAGCGTTAAACGCATATAATAAAAACGAATAGTTTATTGATGTAATTAGAAAATAAAACCGTCTTCTGTGTCAATTAAATATTAATACAATTTATGAGTTATGACGTAACAAGAATATTAATATGTTAATTTCAATATGCGGAAGATTCAAAAGTCTTGGAAGTTATTGCGGTATTCTTTATATGCTCAAGTTATACACTTAGTTTTCTTAACAATTTGTTGATATTTTGAGCTTTTTTGATATAAATATTATTATTATAAAACTGAATTTAGTAAACTCTATAAATATAGAAGTAAGAATATTTAATATGTAGTGACTTAGCGATGTTATTCAAAATTCAAAATTATAATTATAAAGAATGTAATAGTTATTTAAGTATATAAATGTATGTTTTTGTTTAATTTGTGTTTGCAGTATGTACATGTGAAGGGTCGCAACCTTGATCACTGTAAAACATACTTTTAATTTGTATTTTCACCCGGTTGTCACCTGTTTTGTACATCTTAATAAATAAATAAATAAATATTGGATATAATACGAATAATAGATTGACAGTCAAAATAAATAAAAGTGATATGCAAGCTTGATTTAAAAAATATATATTTATGTGAAATATGTATTCAGTTATATTATAGGTTCCTAATAACTAATTAGCATTGGCCGATGGGGCCCGCGAGTCAGTGTTACTTCTGTGGCTCATTTGCATTAGTCGGTCATTTGTTTATTGATCAGGAAAGTAAGGTCGTCTGCACTCCGCATATGGACTCCATGGAATAGTGTAAATGATCCATAAGTCAGCGGCCCGCGAAGCCTCGTTAGCTTATGTAATACGGTAGATTGTTTTCGCAACTCGACACTCGGTATCTATTTGAAAATATTTATTAAATATTGAAGTTCCTTATTATTTTTTCCAAATAATATGTCTTTAAGTATGACGTAACCGTTTTTCATGAAATATGATAACGCATTTTTTTTATTAATCAAAGTAGTTACTCATGCAGTCAATATATTTTTGCCAGTGTTATGGTGGCTTATTGATGCCCTACTTGTAAGTCTGCTGGACGGGATGCAACAAATTCTTCAAAGGCATTTTTGCCTATCAGGTTTTGCCTAATATAATAAAAAGAACCCACTGAAATTTTAACTTCAAATTTCATTACAAATTGTTGTATGTAGACGGTAGTCATATTCTTGATAAATGATCTATACCTGAAAAATGAAGATAATTGCTCTTATGTGAAACATTTTCATAAATGATAATAAAACTACAACAAACTCGTACTTTTTCCATGTAAATTACACGTGCAGGCGAGATCGCGGGTGCCAGCTAGTGCTGAGCAAGGAAGGAATATTTGATAGTTCAACCAGAAATAGCGAGCAGGTCAAAGGTAAGCGAATGTAGCGCCCGTACTCTGTATTATATACCGTACATTGGTATCTGTTAGCTGCACAAACATCTAGTAATTTATCAAATCCTCAGATCTTTATTCCTTACATCAAAACTCAAAAGATTTGATGGATTGACTTAAATTTTCAACACTAGCATTTGCAATAAAATTCTTTTTTTTTTCTCAATTCCCACGAGAGCAGTCATAACGGAGTGTGGGCGGAGATAAAAAATAAATATCCCATGGCTGAGCGGCTTTTAAATAAATAATGCAATATTATAATTTACTTTACTTAATTTGATTTCCAAATGTATTGTTGACCTATTTTTTAACATTGATGTCATACTTTCGACTTTTTCCATCGCCTTCTAGTTGGTTAGTCTATAATATGTCAATTTTTACCATTAGTAGAATTTACAAGCTGCGAATCAAACATTTCGTCATTGCATGCAGCAGGGTTATCACTTCCAAAATAATTAAAAATTTATTGCACAAATTAAAATATTTTTAAACTGATTATGAAGCTTTTTGTTACTTAAAAATATAAAAAAATAACCGTTTATGATTATTTATTTATTTAAATAAACATAAAAATTATGTGAAGTGTAAATAGTAAGCAAACTGTAATGTAAACTCGTAGTAAAGCGTATAGAAATGAATATAATAAAAGAGAAGGAAATAAATTGGTTCTCTTTTAGGATGAAAGAAAATATTATTTTTTTATTATAGAGCCAATATATAATAGGGTTCGGGATAAAAATCAGCGCTAGTTAATTTCACAATCCGACTTTATTTACTTAATAAAATTACAAACAACCATTTAGACATTTTGGATACCACACCTTTTTTAATATAATTTTCTAATGGATAATTGCGTGTATTCAATGAAAGTTTGAAAATGATAAAAGAAGATACAGAGCTATGGAAACTCAATTGACTACTAAAAAAATGCAAACACCAAACTCCTTTCTGTCTCTTAAAATCATACATATTTTAACGAATATGAAATATAAATTAAATAATGTTTTACTCAACAAATTAAATAACTATCAACACTAAATTTGTACCAGACAAAATATCGTCAACCCTACTGGTAGACAATAGCGGGGCGTGTGTATCACGGCTGCGTTCGCGCAGGCGGCATACTTTCGCGAGTTATGGGACAGGTGCGTTATTATTGGAAGTAATCAATTACTGATTTCGATAAACCGTAGTAAGAATAAATCAACGCCATAAATTATTCAGTATGTTACAACTTTTATTTTATATTTATTGATACATTTCGCGGCACTCGGTGCCCTCTGAGTACCCTGTAAAAGATACGGCGTATTTGAATTTTGTAAAATACCTTTTGTACTCGTAATATGAATCGTTAAGTACATATAAACGCAATAAATGTAATATGATGGTTTTTTTTTTTTGTCTAATGTATACGTCATGTCAATTTCGTTTTATTTTATGCATCTATAAATCCTTATAACAATTAATAAAAAGTTTTCGGACGTTCGCGAATTATTATAGTCTTCGTTGAAAACGATGATTGCTATTTACGAGCTGTTACCAACACACTTAAATCATAAAATACCATGACAATTTTTTTTGCAATTTTGCAGAGAAGATTTATATATATATGGCGGAATCGAAATAGTCTTTGACAGTCATTAATATATATTTATAAATCAAACATAATAGGTTAACACAAAAGCTATTGGCATAGTGATCGTATTACCATATTTGGATGCCACTCAGACAACCTTGTCACTCGTTAGGCAACACATTCGCACTCGATTAGCTTGTGTTGATCCACGTCATATTTACCTTAATTATTAATACATTAATCTAATTAGATTCAAAAAATAATCAGTCAAGGTCTTTTAAAAGTTTTCCATTCAGGCAAAGAAGTCTGATGTAATACGGCCACGTATTCAGTTATCGTGTTGTCGGCGACCAACAAATATTTTTTGAAACATATTTTTTAATTACTTGTATTCCTAATCAAGAAGGCAAATATTATGTATTTGCCACTTATTTTTGGTAATGGGATAAAAAGGCATTATATCATTTTACATACTAAGAGCCTCCGCAGATGTGATAAGATGAAATCATTATTTCATAGTAGACCAGTAGTCTCTACCAGGCGGAGCAGAATTGACTCTTTCAAAGTTTTTTCTACTATAACAATTTCGACTGTACATGGTATAACTTTATATTCAGTTTTAGGCATCTTTCGTTTAAAGAAATATAATTTCCAGTTCAATTTTAGATATGGAACTACATTAATTTAACAAGTTTTCTGGATATCATTAAATAAAAACTAATGCCTAAAAACAAAACAGAAAAGGAGTAGATATCAAATCGTCAGTCAATTAAATAGTCAGGGACAAAAGACATTTTGTTATTAAATGCTTGCAAAACACTATGGCTATTGCAAAAGTTCTCCGTAACACACTCGCTTATAAAGCACAAGAAGAAATGAACAAAACCGTGAATATCGGATATCTGTTCCGCCCCACGATTCCGCCCAAAAATCCAAACCCGAATTCGAATTCACTCAGGTGTAATTCATGCTATTTAGTTAATTCACGTTATTTGGTGTATAAATTATGTTTTTATATAAAAATACAAAATAAAATTG